TGTTGGGGGCTAGTCTTGGGCGGGTTCCATGTACCGGGACGGGCGGTGAATAAGGAGGAGGAGGGGGAGAAGTTTGGGGGGATGATGAGGTTGAGATTGGGATGGGAATCCATAATGAGGCCGGGGCGGGGAGGGAGAAAATGGAACTGAAGCAATTGGTGGGAAAGATGCTGAGGATGATGCTGGATAGGAATGACAAGGAGAGGGGTTTTGTGAATGTCAATTCGAATGAGGTGGTTTTGTTGGTGAATAACTTGGGTGGGGTGAGTGTACTGGAATTGGGAGGGATTGTGGCTGAGGTGGTGAAGCAGTTGGGTGAGGACTGGAATATCAAGCCGGTGAGGGTGTTGAGTGGGACGTATATGACGAGCTTGAATGGGTTGGGGTTTAGTGTTAGTTTGTTGAATGTGGTGAATACGGATATCGGGGGACCGGGGATGATTGAGTTGTTGGATGATGAGTGTGAGGCTACGGGGTGGCCGGCGCAGATATCGAAGTTGACTTGGGAGGAGAGGAATCAGGCTACGAGGGAGGAGGATGCATCGAATGGGGAGGAGGTAGGCGAGAGTGGGTTGAGGGTCGATGCGAAGGCTGCTCAGGAGGTGTTCACTCGGGGGTTGGAGGCGGTGGTTGCGGCGGAACCTGATGTGACGCGGTATGATACTATTGTTGGTGATGGAGACTGCGGTATTGGTCTCAAGAGGGGTGCTGAAGGTTAGTTTATCACCATTTCTTGACGTTGAAACATTGCGCTAACAGCAACAGCCATCTTGCGCCACCTCTCGAGCAAGCCCTTGACTGGCGACGTTGTGATAGACCTTGCCAACATCATCCCAGTGGTCGAGATGGAAATGGACGGCACATCTGGAGCCTTGTACGCCATCTTTCTCAACGCTCTTGTTGCTGCTTTGAGAACAACATCACAAAGCGAAAAGGAGGCATCAGCCAAGGTTTGGGCTGCCGCACTTCGCCAAAGCTGTGAAGCCCTCTCAAAATACACACCAGCTCGGCCTGGAGATCGCACACTTGTGGATGCTCTATATCCGTTTGTCAACACTCTTGAGGAGACAGGAGATGTTAAGAAGGCAGCAGAGGCAGCAGTTGCTGGTGCTGAAGGCACCAAGGGGATGAAGGCCAGTCTTGGAAGGACCGTCTACATTGGCGGTTCTGGGTTTGAGGAAGTTCCTGACCCAGGTGCTTGGGGCTTGGCGAGCTTCTTCCAGGGCTTGACGGGGATCAAAAAGCTGGAGGAGGATTCGAACGGGTGGGAGAAGCTTTGAATTTTCAGGGACATAGAATGAGTGTATGAAATCATCATGAACAATTGATAAGAAGAAACTGTCCAAAAAGAGAAAGTGATGTGCTTGTAAGTGAGGGGCAGCTGGCCACCAGCTGTTAGCGGAAAAATTCATCCGACGTCACCTTTTGACCGGGGCCCCCTGGCCCGAAAGAAACACTTGCTTGAGCTTTGCGCGGGCAGCTTCGGGTCATCAATTGGCAAAAAGCTGTGGTTGTTGGAAGAAAGCTTGACGACGACGACCGAAGAACCGAACCGAGGGAGAAAAGGCGTTGGCACAGTTATCACTCTGGGTCCCTTCCCCGTCATAGTCCACCGCCAGAGGGCAATCGCCTTTACTTCAATTTTAAATGTTTCCCCAGGCGATTCTTGCCAGAGCAGCGGCTCCATGTCGCGCTGCCGCCAGACCAAGCTCCTCCATCTTCAGAGCCGCCGCCGCCATGCCCCTCAGAGCTAAGCTGCTGCCTCAGCAGCAACCACAATCACGAATGGTACATTCCCCTCCCTTCGTCTGAGTGTCGACACCACCACCACTACCACTATTCTGGTAAACTAATAACCCACCTCCCAGATGTCCTCCTCCTCCTACGCCCACTTCACCCCCTGCCCCAACGACGACCCCGAAGACGTCCTCTTCCAATCCCTCTATGGCCTCCGCACCATCGAGCTCAACCGCCCCAACAAGCTCAACGCCCTCAACGGGTCCATGATCCGGAAAATCGCACCCCGCCTCCTCGAGTGGTCCAAATCCGACATGGCCAACGTCATCGTCATCAAAGGTGCCGGCCGAAAGGGCTTTTGCGCGGGTGGTGACGTCCAGCAACTCGTCGAATGGAACCGAGACCCTACCATTGATGGCCCTGCGAAGTCGGCTGCCTACTTTGCCCAAGAGTACAAGCTCAACCATCTGATCGCCACGTACAACAAGCCATACATTGCCTTCATGGACGGGTTCACCATGGGCGGTGGGGTTGGATTGAGCATTCATGCCCCTTTTAGGATCGCCACCGAGAACACGGTGTTTTCTATGCCGGAGACCACGATTGGGTTTTTTCCCGACGTGGGCGCGAGTTTTTTCCTGCCGAGGATGGCGGGGGAGGTGGGGACTTGGTTGGCGCTGACGAGCGGGCAGTTGAAGGGGGTGAATGCTTTTTATGCGGGGGTTGCGACGCATTATCTGCACAGCTCGAGCTTGAACGCGCTGGAGAGCAGGCTGGCCGAGTTGAGGTTTAAGGACTATGACCAGATGAGCAGGAGGTTGGAGGTTGTGAATGATACTATTGAGGAGTTTGTCACGGGACTGCCGTGGGAGGAGCCGATGGCGGTTGCGGGGGAGGTGAGGAGGGCGATTGATAGGTGTTTTGGGTTTGACACGGTGGATGAGATTATGCATGCTTTGAGGGAGGAGGAGAAAAATGAGGTTACGGGGGAGTGGGCGACGAAGACGCTGAACACGTTGCATTTGAGGAGCCCGACGTCGGTGCATGTTACGTTGAAGCAGATGAGGATTGGGAAGACGTGGAGTATTGCTGAGGCGTTCAAGAGGGAGCATTCGATTGCGACCAAGTTTATGTCTTATCCTGATTTTAACGAGGGGGTTACGGCTAAGTTGGTGGAGAAGCCCAGGAGGGTTCCAATGTGGCAGCCGGCGAGCCTGGAGAGGTTTACTGAGAAGAAGGATTGGAAGGAGCTGGTGGGTTCGTTCTTTTTGGTGGATGATAAGGGGCCGAAGTTTAAGCTGTTGAGCGAGGAGACGTACGACAAGTATCCTTTCAAGAACTTTGGCGTGCCTACCGAGGAGGAGGTGGAGCAGAAGGTGGCCGAGGGCAAGGTCAAGAGCAGAGCGGAGGTGTTGGAGCATTTTGTTAGGGAGAGGAGGCAGAAGCAGGGTGTTGAGGTGGTTGTGAGCGAAATTCTGTTGAGGAAGACAAAGGAGGGCAAGAAGGGTTTGACTTGGGTGTATGGGGAGGAGGCACCTGGGCAGCAAGAGTAGATTTGTATAGTGAGTAGAGTTGTATCATATGAAGACACATGAGAGCTCATTTTAAAGTTCACGTCTTTGCCAGCCACGCTCCGAACAGGATACGCCTTGGAGGCATTCGGATCACGGCTGGAAGAAGCCCCGCCTGAATTGTATCTGGTGATATCTCGAGCGCGTGGTGGTGGAAAGAGTTTGGGCCAACAAGGTAGCATCGTCTTGAGGATTTACATGTCTGTTGGCAGATAGTGCACTGCATCAACAACACTACTGCGTTGCCAAGTATCGTTAGCGAGCGTAAGCTCATGATGCTGTTGGTGAAAGCGCCACTCGATGCGAGTTGTAAATTCTTGTAGTACCATGTGTGGAAATAGGCAGTCCTCAGGGGTCTCGATGAGATATCTCTCCTGGACAATTCTGCTCAGCTATAAGAGACAACGCCGCCAGATGATGTTCTCCGTACTTGCTCTCTGTCTTTGGTCTCAACTTACCACCCACCTCCACATTCTATAATTTCCACCATGAAACTATCCACCATACTCGGCTCCGCAGCTGTATTCCTGGCCGAAGCCGATCATGCCACCGCCCAACACTGGTTTAGCAGCTGCTCGGGAACCTTCTTCATTGTCGAGCAGCGCTGGATGGTCGCCCAGTGCCAGACCACGTACAACACCATGAGGTGGTCAAAGCTGGATCTGAATCCTTGTATCTCGAATTTCAATGGCAATCTGTTCAAGACAGACGGGGTGTATGTTTGCTTTGGTTTTTGCCACATCCACAAGTACTTACCCGGGTACTGACCCCTCATTCACAGTGTTCCGGGCGGGTACGCCGACTCGTGTGTGGAATGTGGGATGCAAGCGCCGTTCTATATGAGCTGCCGTTGCAAAGACCGGGATGGAAATCTCAAGAGTTACTTCTCGACGATCAATCTAAAGTAAATGTTGTTTCCGTTCTCTGCTGCCATAGACAGCACGATGTTTCTGAAAGTCCTAATGCGTGGTTTGATGAAAAACATTAGATGAATTTGTGTCCAACCAGGACGGATGGCTCGAGTGCTATGGTCATTGGTCTCAGCCGCTTTAGACCCCTAGGTAGACAAAATGAAAAGACAGAAATCCAAACCTACCAGATAGGTACCTACCTACAGAAGCTGTCCGAACCGTATGGGCTCGATTTTTCTCGGTGACTGCAACATTGCTGGATGAAGTCCCAAACAGGATGGGCGCATGTAAGTGGGGGACGCTCATTGGCTGGAGGCGGATGGGTGCATGGTTTTTGACTATTTCTTTTTGACACAACCTTCCTGTCTTTGTAATCAGTGTTTGTCAGCTTTATTGACTTCAAATATCTTCGAATGATCACAGGGATCAAATGACCTAGAAAATGTACAGAATGGTGTGGTGAAAAGAGCGCTGCTAAGACTGGGAGAGCCTCAGTTCTTGATCTGGGCCTCATTGTACCAGCTTATTGCGTTTACAGCATATTATCAGTGCTCAAAACCGATATTTGATCCCTGAGTCCGAGGCTCTGCCACCATGGTGTAGATCCGAACGCCTACCTAACCAAACAAGACAAACGATCGCACTCTATGCTCGCTCTTTCAGTGGATGCCTACTTGCCTGGGAGATTTGAATCTAGTCTTTGTAATCAATGTTTTCTCATCAAATTTAAGCAATATTTAAGGTATCCTGTATATTTCCAGTCCTCTTGATCATTGAACACCATGAAACATACACACTTCTCTCTTTCTTCACACTCCCAAGCACCAGACTGAAGTCTCCCTCTAGCAGCACATTCACGCCACCACTGTCCCATCTTGTGAACCACTTGCCACCTCCTTAAGTTGCTAATGATGGACGGTGACCGTACATCACCCCGACGATCTAGCCGCAAACGATCCATCATCTATGCCGACCCAGCAAACGCCTCTCGCCCTTCCAAAAAGCCCAAAACACAACCTCATCAACAAGCAGCCCAAGACGAGGAGCCCGCCAACACTCCATACCTTCGAATCTACTGCCTAGGAAGCAACGACAATGCAGAGCTCGGCCTCGGCCCCAACCACCGCGTCGGAGACGTCAGAGTCCCAACACTCAACCCTTTCCTCTCCTGCCCATCACCATCCGAGAAATCCCTCAAAAAGGGATCATTTCCCACAATCAAAAACAAAGTAGTCCAACTCGCCGTCGGCGGTATGCACTGCGCCGCCCTCACCTCCACAAACGAAATCCTCACCTGGGGCGTCAACGACAACGGTGCCCTGGGAAGAGACACCAGCTCCGCCCGGCTGGAAGAACACCTCAAAAACCTCACCCTCCACGACGACAACTCCTCCACCACCTCTTCGGAACCAGACATCAACCCCCTCGAATCCACCCCCCACCCCGTCCCATTCCCAAACATAAACCCCCCAAAATGGACCCAAATCACCGCCTGCGACAGCGCCACCTTCCTCCTCTCCACCACCGGCCAAATCTACGGCTGGGGCTGCACCCGCTCCTCCCAAGGCGTCTCTCTCTTCACCCCCCAAACCGCCATCCAACGCACCCCCCTCCCCATCCCCCTGCCTGAACCCATAACCAAAATCTCCGCAAGAGGTAACCACATCCTAGCCCTGACCAAAACCGGCCAAGTCTACACATGGGGCCTAGGCAGCGAGCAAGGCCAACTCGGCCGCCGTCTTCCCCAACGCGGAAATTCTCTTCTCTCCTGCGCAGTCACACCGAGGAAAATAAAACTAAAAAACATCATCGACATCGCCGCCGGACCAGACCACAGTTTTGCCGTTGGTGAAAACGGAGAGGTGTGGGCTTGGGGATTAGACAACTACGCCCAAACAGGAGCCCTCGTCTCCAACCGGGGAGAAGATGGGGGGGGGTTATTCATTTCGACACCAACCCGGGTTACCAACCTAGAGGGGATACTAAACGGCCGAAGAATAAAATATCTAACCGGAGGAAATAGTCATAGCCTTTGCTTGTTGGATGACGGGAGTGTTTACTCCTGGGGAAGGCTTGACTCTTTCGCCACGGGGGTAGATATCGACACGTTGACAGCACAAAAGGGACAAAAATGGGAGGAGGAGTTTGTGGTTAGGGATGGGAGGGGTAGGGCGAGGATTGTGACCTGTCCGGTGAGGCTCTTGCCGCTGGGGGAGGGGGAAAACGACAAGATTAGATGGGTCGAGGCGGGGGCGGAGCATGGGGTCGCTGTTACGGTGGATGGGAGGGTGGTTACCTGGGGGTTTAATGCTAGTTGTCAGACGGGACATAGAGGAGAAGAGGAGGAGATCAAGACGCCGAGGGTGGTGGGTGTGAGAAAAGGTTGTTTGGAGGGTGTCAGGTTTGGGTGGACGGGGGCTGGAGGGCATTTTACTGTTTTGGGGGAGGAGATGGTTGGGTTGTGAAATTTTGGGTAGAGGAAGCCTGGGAATAATAAATTTGGAGGGGAGATGTGATGGATATGAGGCAAAGAGAAGAGCGGCTGGCCTGTTATGAAGATGAGGTTAATAGTTCATGTTGGAAAGGAACAATATCAATGTTTCCGATGCAGGTTAAATATTGTATGGTGTTAAATGTCTTTCGAGACTACCTGGTGTTAGTTGGCCCGCGATAGAGGACAACGGTTGAAAAATACATACTCGTGCCTACCCTGAAAGCCTGCCATGACTGTGAGCCTGTTACTGCGTATGACCTTAGTCTTTTAGCTGTTCCCTCTACGGTGCAAGTGCATCATGACTGAACTTGAATTCCACGACAGTGTCCGAACCCCAAAAAGTTGTCCGAGCTTATTGTCTTCGGCGAGGCAGGGACAACCGCAATACTACATGCAAGAAAAACACAGCCGTAACAGAAAATATACACATTGATTTTTATCTATCTCCTTCCTTTCTATCAAGGCAGAGAGATGAGATGTGGTGGACGGGTTTCAGTGGTATCCATAATGATGAACTCTCACACCGAACCGGCAGCAGCCAGCTTTTGCCTTCAAAGTGTCCAAGCCAGCTGTGCAGTCTATGGATGTGTGGTGAAGCGTGTGAGGTTGGCCTTTTAAATTCGTCGTCTAGTGAAAGAACAAGAAAGTATGTCGATGAATAGTCGAGCATTTAGTTAGCCTCCTCGGGGTAGAGGTCCTCCTTGAGCTCGATGCCGAGCTCCTCACGAAGGGGCTTGAGCTCAGCAAGGTACTGCTCGTACTGGCCCTTGTTCTCGACCTTGGCCTTGATGCCTATATCACAATATCAGCATCTTGTCTACCGAGGCAGGAATATCCCGCATGGAAAAAAGGGAGAGCAGATCGTACCCTCGAAAACGCGGACGGCAGTGGGGAAGTCGTTGACTCTTCTCGCGGCCCTGAGGGCAGCGGCGAGGACGGCAGGGGAGGGGACGAGATCGTAGGCAAAAGCGTTGTTCAGGTTGCGCTACAAGGTGGGGGAAAGCTTCGGGTTAGCAAGAGCACGCTGGCAAGCTTGCAGATGGCAGGCATACCTGGAGCTCAAAGACATCCTGAACGCTATCAAACTCCTTCTCGTAGCTGTGTAAAGCTTCATGTTAGCCAATGGGCCGTATCAAGATAGCTGTGGCTGGTGTCTGAGGCCCAGATATGGGGTTCAAGCACAAGGGTCACGTCATGTCGAGGAAGCTAGCTTCAGAGCTTTCCGAAAGCTCTTCCAGGGTGCCCTCGACAGCCAGTCCAGCACTCACCGAGCAGAAAACTCCTCAAAGGTCTCCTCGGCGTGCTCGGAGCGCATGCGCATCGATGTGCTGAAGGTCTTGGGGACGGCGACGGCAGCGCGCACAGCGATAGGCTGGGGCCGGGCAACAACGGTGCGGAAGAAGGCGCTGGAGGTGCCGCGGGCGGCGATGCGGAGGAGAGAGGCCGACATTGTGAATGGTCTGAAGAGAGAGAGGGGATTTCTGTGCAGGATCCGAGACCGGGAGGAGGCAGCGGAAGCTCGACGTCGACGGTGGGCTGGGCCGGGGAAGTGGCTTGGTTACGATTGATTTGATGCAGTCAACTCGGGATCAGAAGCTTGGAGGTGTGCGTGGGTTGCGGTATTCCAGCCAATGACGGCTAATAGAATCGAACCATCTTCGGTTATGCATATCTTTCTGCTTAATCCACTAGCTTTACCGTTGAAACTCGGCCCCGCCATTCAAAGATATTCAATTGACCGATTTCTCCAGCTTTTCTGCGGAACCATTGTGTGGCTTGTGCCATGTTTGAGCCGTGGCTGAAGCTCGCCGCCGCCTCGGTTGTAGCATAATCTGCAAGTCAGCATCAAGTCGATGTCATTGATCATGACTTGGTGATTTGTTTATAAGGAAAATTTCCCAAGGTAGTCTCAAGTTACAACCGCCGCCAACACGCCTCTCTTTATTTTGGAAATCACAAAAGTTTGTTTTCACTTGTCCCGCAATGAAAGTACGTCATCGACAGCTCCGAAACACACCCGGAACCGGCGGCACCGGGACCGGGACAGTTGGGTTGCAAACCAAGCCGCCGTCCAATCTCCGTGTGCTTGGCATCCGGCCTTTCCGGCCTTCGAAGCACACGGCACGCCGACCCGCCGATCCTGACTGCGAATTGGCCAATGGCGAGGGATTTGTTGTTGTTGATTTGGCGGCGGCCTGGGCAACAGGACAACGAAGCAGTGTCCACCCTGCTCGTCCTGCGATAGGGCCGAGAGATCAAGAGATGTGGGTTTCAGTCAGGCAACGTCTGCAGTGGAAAGGGGGCAACGCCGAGACGAAGGCAGCGCGGTGACGGTGAGCATGAAGATGCCGTACGACTCGTGCTGGCACATGAAGCGTCTGGCTCCGTGTCCGAACTGTTTCGTTAGGTGAAGTAACAGGTGGTTTTGGCAGGCTGTCCGCTGCTCTGGTTTTCAACGACAGTCTCGACCGGACACGGACAAGGCCACTCCTCGATTCCGAGGTCCGGGGTCTGTCGAGGTGTCGGTGGGGCGCTGAAGGTGAGACGAGAGATGCCAAGCGATGATTGGGCCGGCAGAAAAATTGTCAGCTGGAAAATGAGACTTCACATGCAGGAACTGGAAATGAGCCAAGGTGGTTGAGGCTAGCCTTCTTCGCGGGTTCCCCTTTTGCGCCAGGGCAGTCCAGTCTCTGAAAATATTTGGTTTCCCGTGCCCCAGACTTCCACCATCACCACCTTCCGCAAACCTTCTTTGTCGGCGCATCCCCCCCCCCCCCCCCCCCCCCCCCAAGGTACTCAGCTTAATCGTTCCTGCTGCTTGGGTGTCGCGACGTTTCTTCTTTTCTCTTATTCTCTTTGGGTTGTTTGCTGCCGCTGAACCGGCATTTCCCTTCTCTTGTTCCCATCCGTGTGTTCCGAGCAAAAACGTGACAGGTAAGCACTTAACACCCCGTCCAGTCCACCGTGTTTTTGTACTCCCCCCTTCTCCCGACGCCTCGTGCTGACTGCTCTTCCTCGCCTTCAGGAGAACTTACGATAGATTTAATCGCGTTTTGTCTTCACAATGGCTTCGATTCTCGACCAGCTGCCGGTCCCAACGTTGGACCGGCCATTCGGCATCCACCTCTGGCCCATCTTCAACAAGGCCTTCGAGAAAGTTGTTGGCTACCCTGCCGATGACTTCCGCTTCCAGCCCGGTCAGACTCCCATGTCTACCCTGAAGGAAACGAGCATCTTCATCGTCATCTACTATGCCATCATCTTTGGTGGCCGAGAGTACATGCGCAGCCGCGAGCCCTTCAAGCTCAGGACGCTCTTCCTGATCCACAACTTTTACCTGACCGCCATTTCCGGCATCCTCCTCGCTCTCTTCATCGAGCAGATGCTTCCCACTGTTGTTCGCAAGGGTCTCTTCTTTGCCATCTGCGATGCTGATGGCGGCTGGACTCAGCCCATGGTTGTCCTCTACTACGTGAGTTGACCGCTGCTTCTGGCCGAATTGGGCCTTTGTACTGACGGTAACCAGTTGAACTACCTCACCAAGTACCTCGAGCTGTTGGATACCTGTTTCCTGTTCCTCAAGAAGAAGCCTCTCACCTTCCTTCACTGCTACCACCACGGCGCTACCGCTCTCCTCTGCTACACCCAGCTCATCGGTTCCACTGCCGTCTCATGGGTTGTCATCTGCCTCAACCTCCTCGTCCACGTCGTCATGTACTGGTACTACTTCCAGAGCGCGCGTGGCGTCAAGATCTGGTGGAAGGAGTGGATCACCCGTCTCCAGATTATCCAGTTCGTCATTGATCTTGGTAAGTTCGAGTCATGGCCTTTCCCGGTCCTCTTTGGTCAAGGTTACTAACTTGGCGTCAAAGGCTTCGTCTACTTCGCGTCGTACACTTACTTCACTTCGGCTTACTGGCCCTGGATGCCCTCCGCCGGCAAGTGCGCGGGTGAGGAGTTTGCTGCCTTCTCCGGTATCGGTATTCTCAGCTCTTACCTCTTCCTCTTCATCTCCTTCTACTTCGCCACCTACAAGAAGGATGGGAAGCGCCCCACTGGCCGCAAGGCTGTCCGCAGAATGTCCCAGGCTCCTCTTCCCGACCCGAGCACCATCATTCACGGCAAGGACGTCAAGGCCACTGGTGTCAAGACCAATGGCACTTCTACTCGCTCCCGCAAGGCCTAAATCAGCTCGGTTGGGGAGGCTGTGTTGGTGTGAACGCATCCTTCCTGATCCATGCTATGGAAGCTTCTGCCCGAGTTTCTGAGTCTCAGTTAGTCTCACCAACGACTGAGCATAGACGAAGGAAGAGTGCAGCACTCGAGAGTTCCGGCGCATTCTTTTCCGCGCTTGGGACTCGGGGCATTAATCCCCTCAATAAAACATAATAATGACATCTCGGTATTTATCTACGGAGTTATACGCGGGGAAAATTACACATTGCATCACGAATTCGGGGCTTCTCATGATTACTCGCCCTGGGGAGAATACACGGGCAGTGGGCAAAGTGGCTGAATGGGCGGCCATGGCGGCCAAGGGCTGTGTAGCTTTTCTAATGGGCAAGGCGGGTTGGGCGGTATGGTATGTCAAGACGACGGACGCATGGCTTTTATGGGATTGGCATCAATGAGCGACGACGCCGGAGCTGCCAGGTCATCTTGGGATGCGGTTGGGTTTTTTTTTTTAGAAGGGGGGGCGAGCCGGGGTTTTTTTTTGGCTTGCCACATTCGGAGTTGATAAAAAAACAACAAGCCGGAGTCTGTTTCGGGGGGGAGGGAGTGCATTCATTGTTTCAGCTTTTTGAAATTTTTCTTTTCGCACGCTGTATATTGTTGCCCTGTACTAAACTTGTGGGCTCGTCGCCGGTTGGGCCGAGTGCCAGCTATACACAGTCTTAATATTACTTGATGAAAAGGCAAACTTGTTGTGCGAGTCATGATGTGTTTGGTCGGGGTCCGGTTGATGGTCGAGGATTGACCGGTGTTTTGTTGACTTGGTTGTTGCGGTAAGGGGTCCTACGGATCGGTGGTGATATATCAAAGTCTCGGGCCGTGATGTTCAGTGCTGTCGGAGCACGCACACTCACCATTCCCATCATTGGTTGGAGGGGCGGGAAAGGGCATTCAAATGGAAAGAGCTTCGAGAATGTTTCGATTGGGAGAGAAGAGGGAAGGCTGTTGGTGATATATGATGGTATACCTAAAGGGATTGTTGATCAAGTAGTACATAACTCGGAACAAAAGTCAGGCGATCATTCTTTTCTTATACCGCTTTGTTTGGTAGGTATTCATCACTTTGCGAGCGGTTCGTTGGCGAAGGAAATGCAACCCAAGATTTTCATCTCAACCCAGATTTTATAGTACCACGTGCAGAACTGTACGACGATAAATCAGGGGTTCAATGACAATCGTGTGAAATTAACTCATTGACAATCCATAGCTGGCAGAAGTTATAGATTTGATACTGGCTAAATTTGCTTGATATGGGTTGACGTTTTTGGGCGAAATGCCACGATAACAAATTTGGGTATTGTTGGTTGGAGCGTTGGGTGTGTTACGTCAGTGTGCAGGTTACAGTCACATTTGCCAACACCCACCGATTGGAGATCATGACGACAGGAATTTGGGTATTGGTTGCTGATTTGGGACGTTCCGTTATGAATAGTTTTTGATGAGATGGGATGTGGTTGTTTATGTGGGATAGCAGGTTTCGGGGTGGTTGTTGCCTTTGCGGGAAAGATTGTGAGGTTGGAAAACTTTCCGAGATGGGAGAGCAGCAGGTGATCACCCATTGGACTGGTTGTGCCTGAGAGTGGAGGATGTCATGATACAGGAACAGGATTTTATCAAGAGGAGGGCTACCTGCGAGATAGATGTGCATGCATATCCCTTAACGGAGCCCATTATCAAGATGTTGTTCTCAACAAACAACTGATCAGACCGTTTTGGCTGGTGGTTAATTACTCATATTCGGACTTGCACACTGCTGACGGTTTTCCCTCTGGTGGCCAGCCTTGCAAATATGAGGCTGTCATACCCAAAGGCTGAAGTTGGACTTGATACTACACATGTCCTACCCAAGACTCATCATCCAAAGCCAACATATTCCCTACCTTCATCCCGAACCGCTCATGGAGAACACATAATCCAAACTCATCCCCAATGCCAGGCCAACACAACACCCCATCTCTCTACAACTCCCCGTCGGAGCATATGCTACCATGCTACCGAGCGGCTGAACAGCTCCACTACCGCTGGGGCATACAAATCCTTGACAATCCAAAGTAAGCACTTAAATCACCCCGGATCGGCAACCCGGGTGGGCTGGCTGACACAGGTCCGACCCGACAGACAAGAAACTGCCAACTACCCAAAAGCGAAAGACAAGAAATCTGAGTAGCAGGCGAGGGAGGTAAGGTAGGTTGGTCCAAAGTTTGAGGGGAAAATTGCGCCTCTCGCTTGTGTGTATCAGGGTCCTTGTTCGGGAGTCAGACCAGCCGTTGAAAAGGCTTGTTGGTCGGGCCGCCTTGGCTACGGGGCTGACTTTGGATATCTGAACTAACATGCTCAAGTGTCAGGTTTGGCTTTTGGGAGCCTCGAGAAAAGAGATGTTGGAGATAAGGGCTGGGCTGGTCGGGACAATTGTGTTTTTTCTTCAGATTCCGACCATGAGGTGGGCTGAATTAGCTGACCAGATCGGAGGAACTGATTCCACATCCTGACCTTTCAGGATAGAGTGACCTGGGAGAGAAACCTATGAGGCTGAGAAATCCCCAAAAACGGACGAGGTTTGCTGCTTCCTGTTGTCTTCCCGTCCGTTGTGTGCGGCGTGGGACGGGAGAACATGCGGCACCTTCAGCGGCGGGGATGGTAATCACCCGCTAGATAGCTATTGTCGACACCATGAAATATCCGGAGGAAAGATCCGGGGTATAATTCAGCTCGGTAACACCAGAAGAGGAAACGGTCTGGAAGGATGCCATATCGATGACATGTCGGTAGGACTAGATAGGGAAGAGAAGGCCGAGACGAGACATCAAGTCTAGAACAGGTGCTTTTTGACGGCAGAAGACTGCCGAGACTTTGACTGTATGAGACATCGTGTTGGTTTGGTCGTTCACATGCCGTCTTTGTGCTTCGATTAGTAGAGCCAGAATTCCAGTGTGTGTGGGGCGATGATTGTGGTGATGATGGGGTAGAGAATGGTATCTCTTGCTGAGTGTTGACCGAGCACCCAAAAGGAAACAGCCCGAACAGTCAGAACGGGGCGATGACCGCCGTATCTGACTCCCAACTTTCAACCCTGCGATCCTTCTTTCAAGCTTCTCGGCCTCAGCCCACCCAGTCAGTCAGCCGCATCCGCAGTCAGCCTGCCGGTAGGTATCTTTGTTGTTGTTGTTGTTGTTGTTGTTGTTATTCTTGGTGGTGGCTCTCATCTTGGGTACACATAAACATCCTGATTGTGTTAGTATCACTGACTCAGCTGTCATTGTTCCCCTCGGTATTACTCGCAGAATCGGTAATTGTTGATGTTTCTGACAGATTGTTGTTGATGTTGAAAGATACTTACCTTACACAACCCTTGTCCTAGTTCGGGAGCCCGAGATCCAGGGTTCAGGGTCTTTGGTTCACCCGTCGCTTGCCACCCCACTGATGAAACATTTTTAGCAACGCCAACGAAACCCCGATAGCCGTTAGGCTACATCAGGACAGTTCCTGCAGTCTAAATCAGGAAAAGAAACGACTGTGATTGGTTGTTGTGAGAGGAGAAGCTTGGGCCCCATGACGCAACGGTTTCGCTCTGGTTGAAGTTGGGAATCTTCACCTCGAAGAACAAAGAATGGATTTATGAAGATAAGCAACGACTTCAAATCAATCCGAGAGATCATCTGTATGTATGATGCACTCGACTCACATCAAACATCTCAAGATACTACAGTGCTCTCTCTATTGTTTCCCCTGCCGCCGAGGGTGACATTGGTCTCCCGAACATTACTCCAACATCGCTGGTGGCCTGTCGTTTGAGACCGTTAGAAACGGACGACTTACAGCGCGCCCAGCCGCCGTGCGGTTCACCATGCAGTGCGCCATGCAGGAGATGATGGCAATAGTTGTCGTCGCACACGCGATCTGAAGCGTCACAAAATGTCAAAAGCGTTTCGACACAAAGCAATCTTGACTTTGAGATGAAATGGTGTCTGAGCGAGACATTCATCGCACTTTTCCAACCGAGGCAACTACCCAAATGAGTGGCTGATGATAATATGGGCAAGAAAGGCTCGCGCGTGGTGAGACGGCTAACCATGGGACAGGGCGGCCATCAGGAGTTCCCACTGTCGCCGAATATACTGGTCCATAGAAGAAAGGACGATTGGAAGCTCGTAAAACCACCACCATCCACGCGCTGAGGGGAGTCGGTCGTCCACAAGGTTGACGGGCTTGGGACAAGATTCGAAACAGTCAACCACAGGGTCAAGGCCGGGAGACACCACTGCCGATACAAGACACCCACCACCACCACCACTACCGCCAAAACCTCCTCACCTTTGACCCTTCCCCTATCTCCCAGGCCATCAGATAGCCTTGTCCGACCGCTCTCTCATCCCAAATTTCCAATTGAGAAAAGCACGAGAAAGAAATTGACAAAAGGAGCCCTCCAGCTGAAAGCCTGCATGCTGAGGCGTTGGGCAGTACATACTCCCTGATTTGCAGGTCACAAAAACGCCACTGGACTCGGGAATGACAGAAAGCATGCCTCGTCCAGCCATCGTACAGGACCGACCGAACGAGGCGGTGTCACGACGCTCAGCACCACACTCGCAGCCGCCGATTTGACATTTTTGCGCGTTCGCGTTCTTGGTGGCTTACATGTAGAAGAAATTTTTATTGAAGCCATCTTCCAAGGGCCGTTTGTGATATTAAATTTTGGGGGTTTTGCGTAAGGTGATCCTGAGGCACATAGACATAGGCTTGCCGTTCTCGGGTCCACACATTTAGAGATCTTTACCTACATCGAGCTATGATATGCCGGGACATGATCTTGTCGACACATCCATCACCCACAAAAGGGACCGCTTATAACACGGACCCAATCCTTCCGTCTAAATTTGTGAAGTGTGTGTCGAGCAGCCGAGATCTTTTCTGACCTGTTACAAAAAGAATGCAACGCACAGGTAAGGGGTTCTT